CTTTGAAATCAAATACAGCCAGTATTTCATCAATCTCTTTGTGTGCATAGAACTTTTCCTTTTCTTAAAGCTTGAGGTCACATTCTTATTCATTAAAAAATTACCAAGGATGATATGCCCAAAGTAAATAGTGAAATCTCTGCTTTTGAGACTTCATTGACCAAATTTGGTCTAAGTATAAAATCTTGGTATGTTTATGGACAATCTGAATCAGAAGATGATGGACAAAGAGAACCAGCATGGGAGTATGGAGAAGTGTGTCCCATGTTAGCCTGTGCTTCAAGCTACGTTTGTGAAAGCATGTCCAAGTCATCTTATTTTTGTGGACTTCAGCTTCCTCATTTGCAATGTGAGTCCCTTGGCATAGGTGATTTCAAGACCCGTTTTTGAGCTCTAAAAGACTCCAATGTTCTAAATATTAAATCTGCTACTTAATAAATGGAAAGTTTATCCATGTTTTACTCATTTACCAAATAATTACAAAATTTCTGTCCTATATATTTCAGAGGGTTTTTGAAGATTAAATGAAACCATAGAGTAACTGCCATTGAAGCAACAGAATGCCATTTGTTTCACTTTTCCTTTTCCTGGTTTCCTACAGCAACCAAAATACATTTAAAGAATCCTCTTTGTATGTAAACCACGTTAAGTTGGTGAGTCAGATTTGGGAATTTGGTGGGACAGGAAGAGGCTGAAATTCATCCAGCACTGTATCCAGCACTTTCCTAACATTTGTCTTCTGGGTCCAGAGGGGGGCCTGTGTCATGGATCTTGATGGACTAGACAGGAGAGATGAGGATGGCAGGCATGGTACTCAAGTATCAGGAGAAGAGATTAATGACCTATATCATATATACACATATTCATAATATAGACAATTTCAACCTGCCTATGTACCTCCATATGGAAAAACTAATCATACCATGATAAGGGCACTTTTGGACACAAACCACATTCATATACCCTGAATCTGGAACCAATGGAATTGTGAACCAACAAAAACTTCCTCTTAGTTAGGGAGTATGTTGGGTTGTGGCTGGATTGGGAGATAAATAGAAAGATGGGGCAAAATGGGCTCAGTCTAGAAAGTGCTCAGCACATTGATTTTCTTGTATAAAAAATTGAGTGATAATTTTATAGGTTCATTTGTTTGTTCTTTCATTATGAAAACATTTATAAATGATCTATATGTAGGACTGTCTGCAGTAGGTAATAGTAAATTTCACGACTATGGTGCCCCAGAAGATGAAGTTTCAGGTCTCAAGTTGGTGTGGTAAATTGTGATTTTAATTTCTATTTTCTTATTTCCTCCTTGTAATGGAATCATGCATTCATGACCTCTGACATGTGACTTCTATGCCTTACACTAGAGCAAAGAGACTACATTTCCTAACCTTATTGATGTTGGGTATGGTCATCTGATTTTCTTTTGGCAATAGAAATATGGGCAGAAGTGAGAGCATGCCAGCTTCAGGCAGAAGCTGCTTGCTACTCTTGTGCTTCCAACATCTCTTATGTGAAGAATGTGGATACACGTCTGAATAAGGAGATAGGTTGATTAGATGTAAACGTGACCCATGGACTGGAGCAGAGTCAGCCTACAGAACTGTGAACAAGGGAAATAACAGATTGTTGTTGTAAGCCTTTGAGCTTTTGTATTTATTTGTTACACAGCATTAATGAAGTAAAACCTGACAAACACATGAGGTGCATCTGAGAACCAAAGGGAAGTTCAGGCAATGAATGAAGGGGACCCCTAACAGCTCAATGAGCAAAAGTTGGGCCTTCTGAATCAGGGCAGAATCCATCTACCACTAGATGAGTATGCAGGCAAATCCCAGACCCATCCATTCTGTAAGTACCCCAAATCTCCCTGGCTTATGGTTGGGCAACCACCCAGAAAACTCTTTCTCTTGCTCATTTCATGTTGCTAAAACTATAAGACATACACAGATTCTATGTTCTTCTGCTTTCTCAAACCCGTGCCAATATCACTTAAAAATGTGTCTATAGATATATAAACAGGTGTGCAAGATAAATTTATAAAAGAGATTAGAGTTTTCTTAGCCATTCTCTAATGTCAAATGTTGCTATTGTTCAGAGTTCTTTCCTGTTACAAATTAATGCTACTATAACTTTTTTGTATGTGATTTTTTCTTTACAATAATTTCATATTTTAGATTCCCATACCTGGAAACTCTGGGTTTCAAGAGGAATATGAACATCAATATGGCTCTCAGTATATATGGCCTAAGTGCCCTTCACAGGGACTTTGCAAAAATGTATGAGTGTGTCACTTCCTGCCACTTCTCCAGCATTCAGTTAACTCCATTTTTTGATCAGACAACTATAAGGTAAATACTTATATGTGGCCCTTATAGGCAGGAGTTCAAGGGAGACACAAGCTCCAATTACAGAAAGGTGGACATAACATGTCAGGAGACTGTCTAATCAAAGAAAAGCAAACCTGCACGCTTTCTATGTCACGTAAAAGTCAAACAGCCACTGTAGGAATACCCCTGTATATGTGTCACTCAGACATTTCATAAGAGAGAGCTTTACAGGCAGGTTTCTTTTGCCATCTGGAGGGTGAGGACAACACAGAATGCTCAGCTCTGGGATGAAATGACACTTTCACAACCAGGGGAGACTTTTATTTTATTCTTACTTCTAGAGAACCAGACAGAAAGTATCTTCAAAGGGGTGACAACTTTGTCAAGGTCAGCAACATAAACCAATAATGTCGAACAGCTCTTTTATTCCCACACACTTTCCTCCATGGGCACGCCCCTATATTCTCTTAAGTGATACCAGCCTTTTTCATGTAAACTCCCAGAAAACTTCAACCTGGGTGATTTTAGAGACTAAAAGCTAAATTTCCCTCCAAGAGCACCGGTTTTCATCTCTGCAGGCAGCACATTTGATCTATTGGGGGTAATGTCACACCTCAAATTCTTCTAACCCATTATAAGTAGTTACTTTCCTCATCCAGGTCTCACCTAAAAAAGGCCATGACCATAAAACAAATTGAATCAATGGAACACTCTTCAAGAGGAGACCAGAGAAAGGTGTAAATTTCCATTCAGGAACTAGTGATTTCAACATCCAACTGGGAAGATTTAAATCTTAAAAGCATTTTAAAGGAGCAGCTCTGCATATAAACTTTGACAAATGGGAAAGAATAAGATGCTGAGAAATAGTAAAAACAGATATTTGAGGCAGGGGGACTAGCATGAATGAAGGCACAAAGGGTAGAAAATACAAAGAATAGGTAAATTTAAAGTGTAGGGTGTATGTTGTGGAGGTGGAGACTTTGAAACACTCAAAATGTGCATCAATAACTGACGTTGAATAAATTATGGCAGATTCTTATGATGGAATAGAAAAGGAAAAAGGAATAAGAACTATGTTTACTGTTAAGATATATCTCTGGGCTATGTGTTTCAGGGAAGAAAAGCAAAAGCACTGAACAATGCATATATTTTGCTTCATTTTAGCATAGTATTAAAAAGTGGAAGGATAAGCCAAAAACTAAAAACTAATTAAAATGGTTATGAGGGAAAGAAAGGGTAAAGAACATAGGAATGAAAGTTAGACTTCTTTGTACCTTATCTTGTAGATTTGACCTTGAAATCATGTAAATGTTTTTCTTAAATATTAAATAAAATGAAATTAAAGCCATCCTTTAAAATCAAAATGAAACAAAAACAAATTGTACTTTAAACTGATGGTTGAAACACACAGAAATAAATTTTTGCAACTGACTTTAAAGCACAATAGTTTATTACATGTCCTAAGTGTGATATGTCCTAAGGTTAAAAATAAGTGGAATTAAAACTAAAAATTATAAAATTTTCAGTGATAACATTATTAGTGATAATATTTATATTGTTTTTCTGAAATTATATGTGTATGTATACATGATCAGGCAATTAAATAAACAATTATATTCATAATTTAAATAATTATAATGTCATTAAGAACCAAGATTTTCATTGTAAGAGGGAAGAATTACAAATAAAGAAAAACAAATACATTAAATAAAAAGCAGGTAATCTGAAACTGTGTTCGACATATCAGTATGAAGTCATGATGAATTTTCTCCTGAGGAAAATTAAAGATCAAACACACATTTTTCAGATCACACATATTTTTCATGTCCAAGCTTGAAAAAGCCTGGAAACAGTGACCAACCTAACTTATGATCTTCACTATAATTTCCCAATGAGAGGAACCATTGAGCTTGGAGAAATAGTTGATTCCAGGTCTGAGGAAGGAAATGAGCAAGACAAGCCTAGATCTTTTTGAACATGAAAGAAAGGAAGCTGTCAATGATTAGTGGAATCATGTCTAAAAGACTCAGAAGCCAATTTGAAAGGATTCCCACTAATCAAGAATAATAATTCCAAGGATAGAAACGTTTCAAATATGACAAAACCAAGAATTCATAATGATATCTTTAGAAGTGATGTTAGTATCATTTTCTTGGGGAAGGAGTTACAAAAGAAGATATTAACACCATTCAGTCTTTTTCTTTGAATTTTCCTCAATGTGTCCTATAAATTGCATGTGTTTGTGTGTGTGCATGTGTGTAATATAGTTCTGTGTGATTATACTAATACAAGACTTAAGAAGTGACCTGGGAAAGGATGATCTTGCAAAGACCTACGCAGAAGACAGGCCACTGTCCAGCCAAAAAAAAAAAAAAGGCCAGAGGGAAAAATCATATAACCCACAAAATATTACCACCTCCTGGTAAATTGGCAAGGGTCAATGAACTAGGAGTTTCAGGAAGAAAAACTTAGGGAAGCATACAACTGAGTATAAAGCATGACAAGGATCCTAGAAATGTAGAAGCTGTACCAGCTGGACAGCAGGAATGCCTAGTCTGTTTCATACTGAGGAAACTAAAGGAAGTCTGTGAGGTATTTGAGAATAGAGACTGAGGCTGTTCTGTTCATCTCCCATCTCTGCTTCCCCAGAACTCAGAGGCCACTCCATTACCACTGATTACAATTTATTCTTTCTCTCCATCCACCCATCTGTTCCCCTAGTCACATGCCCATTCTACTCAACACTGTGTTGTGTTAAGGGCTGCTTCACAGAGGCACGCAGTTCCACTGGTTCCAATCACAGGGCAAGGAGATGCTCTTCAGGTTGAAGTTCACTCTTTGCATAATGTGGTTGGCCCTATCCACATGGGAATACATGGGGAAGCCAAGTTTGTCCATAGCACGGATCTGGGCACAGACGACTTGGGAGACAAGGCCCTGGGCCCGGTACTCAGGCACTGTGCCTCCCATCCGAATCTCTCCTGTCTGGTCCATCAGGCACCAAGACACAGGGTTCCCCTCAGGCCCCAGGAGACAGAAGGTGGGGAAGGTCTGGATACAGTGTTCAATGAATCTCTGGCTCCTCTCATTGCCACCGAAGGACCAAAATTTATTCACCAAGGCAGCGTGGGTAACGTCCAGGGATGAGAGTTTTAATGTCTTTTGGTTGCTGTTGGAAACAAGGGGAAAGAATAGTCCATAATATCACACATACTGTGAAGAATTATATTTTTTTCCCCCAAAATTGTCCTGAGAGGCAAATAGGAGCAAACTTAAGCGTATCTTCCTGGGTTTACAATCTGATTACTTGTATGATTTGGTGCTGATTACTTCATCACTCACTTCCTCTATTTCCTCATCTGATAAATAGGAATGATAATTACACCTCCCGTATAGAATCAGCGTGAGGCTTAAATGAACCAATGGTTGTAGGTTCTTAGAACCAGCACCTGGAAGATAGTAAGCACTCCACAGAAATTAGTGACAATTGTTTCATTTGGCTTTGCCCATAACCCTCCAAGGTAGTTAGGGCAGATGTTCTTATCCTTTTACATAGAAAGAAAAAGTTTCAGAGAAAATAAATGGGTGCCCCACAGGATATGGTAGCAAGCAGTAAAGCCAGAACATAGAATCATGGAATCTTAGAATGTTGGTGTCAGAAGTCTCCTGGCCACCATTTTGAACAAACGGGAAAGCTCAAGAGGTCCAGAGACAGGCAATGATGTGGAGTGCAGGTGGCCCCAAAGTTATATAACACTGAAGTCTGAAGGCTTCTGCAATGGTGCAAAGTGGCTGCAGGAGGTGTCCTGGAAACAGCCCACAATGTGGAACTAGAAGATCTAGACTCAAACCCCAGTTATGCCTTAACTATCCACATGACCTGAGTGAGCTATTTCATCATCTGCGACTGTTTTCTTTCAGGAAAATGAGAATAATGTCTCATACTCTATCTCACAGTGTAGACAAACAGATCCAGTGAGATTCTAGATATGGAAGTGGTTTTCAGGTTGTAGTGTCATAAAACATGAATAAAGTTCTTCCAGGCATGGGATTGAGCATCTCCAGATCAAATCCTCACTCTCAGTTTTGAATTCTATTCAGCGTTAGACTGGACCATCAATGAGTAAAATGTACAGTTTGTTGAAATTGTCTTTATTGGAAATTTTTTGTTCTGTGAAATGAATTCACCAAAGACATTTACTAAGCACCTACTATATACTGGGCACTGTTCTAGCTGTTGAGGGTCTGTCAGTGAACAAGACAGAGAAGATATCTGCGCTTGTGGGGTTTGCAATACTGTTTGGAAGAGTTTAAACATCAAATAAGTAAGTTAACTAAACTAGCTAATTTCAAATAATCCTAAAAGCTATGAAGAAAATAAAACATGTACGGAAGATAGGTATGAAGTGACTTTAGATGGGTGGGTTAGCCAGGACTCTCTGGTGAGGTGACATGTGAACAATTCTGAATAATGAAGTCATGTGTGCAAAGATTGGGTGGGGTGGGGGAGAAGACGTTTTAGGTAGAGGGAAGAGCTGATTCAAAGTGCTTGAACTTATGATGATCAATAGCAGGAGGAAAGCTAGTGTTGTTGGGGGGAATAAGCAAGAGACAGACGAGGTCTAAAAAGTAGATCATGCTGGCTCTTAGAGGGTGATGAAGGAGTTCAGAATTATTTCAAGGTGATATGGTGAGTACTAGAGTCTTTTAAGCAGGGGAGGGACATGGTCTAATTTATATTTTTAAAAAAGATTACCCTGGCTGCTTAGCAGAAAATAGATTGTAGGGAAGCCAGAACAAAAGCTGAAAGAGAAGTTGGGAGGTAGAGTAGGTTGAATGGTGTGTTCACTCAAAAGATATGTTCACCTGTAAACTGAAAATGTGACCTTATTTAGAAAAAAGATCTTTGCAGATGTAAATAAATTAACAATCTCAACATAAAATCATCCTGGATTATCTAGTTGGACTTACATCCAATGACAAGTGTCCTTATAACAGACAGAAGAGGGGAAGACACACACAGAAGAGGTCATGTGAAGGCAAACCAGAGACTAGAGTGATGCAGACACAAGCCAAGGAATGCCTAGAGCCACCAGAAGCTAGAAGAGGCAAGGAAAAATTCTCTCCTAGAGGCTTTGAAGGGGCCATAGGCTTGTCAACAATTTGACTTCAGACTTATGGCCTCCAGAAGTGTGAGAGAATAAATTTCTGTTATTGTAAATGCATTCCAGTTTGTGCTGACTTTTTGCAGCAGTCCTAGAAAACTAATACACAAGCTATTTCAGTAGTGAGAGATATGAGTAGTGCAGAGCAGCTTCCATCAAACTTACATGGACTTGTGGTTGCCACCATTGGGTGATAAGTTCTTTGAATCCTGCATGGAATGAGCCAATTTTTTTGTTGTCTCAGACACCATATAGAGAAGGCATTGTGTTCGCTTGACCTTGCCCAATTTAATAGCTACAAGATTTTCTATCACCTCATCCAGGCTGGACTGTGAACCTAGATGGCAAAAATGAGGAATCATATGAGATATCACTGTTCATTTCAATGCCAGGGAAAAGCTGCCCAGGAGCTGGAAAACTCATGAATTTAGAGTCATCAGAGCTTGTGTCCAATCATGATACAGCTTCTATATGATAACAGCTAAATCACTGCCACATTTTGAAAATTCCTGAACATATCACAGTACAGTTATGACCAGCAAAGGAAATGAGGTATAAACATATTAACCAAAATTTATTGAACAATTCTATGCACTCAATGTGGTAGATTGGTGCTACAATGATCCTGGTTTGTTCCTTCCTCCTTATCCTGATTTTCCCTTCTGAACTGACTCTGAACTTGACCATGAAATTTGTTTGGCCAATGGAACAATAGCAAATGTGATTTAATAAGAAGTGTGAAAAGTGATTGTGCATTGAGGCTTGCCTTCTCTTTCTACTCTTGAGAACCCTGTGACTTCTACATGTCGCCAAATTCACTTCCATCTGCACAGTCAATAGCCAGCACAAACAAAGCTAGTGTCAATAGCCAGACTTGGGATTGTGACTAACCTAGTCTTAATAGCTCATAGATAACCCCCAGCTGACTGTAGCTGCATGGGTGAATCTAGGAGAGACTAGCAGAAGAATCACCCAGCTGAGTCCATTCCAAAGTACTGACACACAAAATTGTAAACTAATAAATGATTGTTGTTTTAAATCACTATTTTGGGATAGTTTGAAAAACTAACTGGTAAAACAAGGCATAGTGCTAAGCACATCTCATTCAAGATCTCATTCAACCTTTAAACAGTCCTACGTTTTGAGTGCTATTACAATTCTCATTTTTATACACAAGGAAACTGATCCACAGACAGGTCATTACTTGCCCTAGATCACACAGCTAGTAAGGCCCAACAAGGTCACAATCTTAGGTAGTCTGACCCCAGAGAAGATATTCTTAACCACTAAATTCCTCCTTTGCAAATTTGACAGAATGATAAAACAGAAATGAGACAGAGAGGAAGCTCTGCTACCATCCTCATACTCTCTAATAGACACTGAAAATAAATCATGAGTCCTTAGCTATTAAGAAATGTTATTACTGGTGATTTCCTATGTAAACCTGATACATTGCAGTCTTAAAGTTCTAATTCACCATGGAGGTGGTGGCAGTTGAGACAAAGAATAGAAACCTGGCTGAGTTTCCAGGGCTTGAAGTAAAGATATGTGAGATATAGGAGTGTTGTTAAAAAGGAAATGTCATCCTACTGGTGTAGACATGGGAGATCTCAGGAGCTGGCACACTTCCCAGTCCTCTTACTTTGAATCTGCAAATGTTGTTTCCAGTTGATGACTTCTGGTAAGCCGAGGAATTCCTGACAGTTCTTGGGGTCCTTGGAGTAGATTTGATAAGAATTGGTGTAGTGATCAAGATCATCTGTCATCTCCTGTAGGGTGGGGAAAAGTAGAATCAACCAGTGTTTGTATTTAGTGATTTTCATACTGATTTTCAGTGTTCCATTATCCTATGATATTTTTAAATACTAAAATATTAGTATTTTCTGTTGGTGTATTGACTTTATTTAGGAATTATTTACATAGGGAGGTCAAGGACTTCCTTGTTCAATTAATAATGAAAAATATCCTGAACAAAACTATTCCTAACTTAGCTATTGCTTTAAAATTTCAAACCAAATAAAAATGAGCCATTTAAAATTATTTTTATATACCTACAAGTATAGGAGTAAAATGACAATTGACAAGCAAAATCTTTGGCTAAAAGAGTAAATCCTGCTCTAGCACAGAGATTTTTAGAAGATCTTGGTGATAAACATGTCTCCTAAAATTGATACAAGTAACAGGATTAGACTATCCATGCTAAATGATGAAACTAAAGAAAATGATGATGCACTAGATTTACTTTCTTTAAAATAAAACTTACCACTGTTAAACAAACTATATTTTCATCAAACAGACAAGCACCCAAACATACTCATTCAAATATATCTAGCAAAATCATCAAAGCTGACATGGGATTATTTGAAGATGAAGGAATAGATAAGAGGAAAAAATTACCTCAACCAATGAAAATCAGAAAGCTTTCTTTCCTAAAATATCTAGAAATTATTAAACAAAATATATTTCCAATTCAGCAATGATACTGCTGATTAAAGTTTACTTTTCAGAATGATGTCACCAAAATGACGGTAGGAGATCCCCACTTCCATCCTCCACAAAGATCAACAATTGACGGGTATCCATGAGCTCTGAGAGTACTCTGGCGTCCACTTAAGAAACTTCAGCAATGCAGTAGAACAAAAAAACCCCTGAGAATAACTGCACAAGAAGAGAAAGAAGACAGCTTATTTTGCCTGAATTATCCCATTCGCCATGCTGACGTTGCTCAGTGCCAAGATGGAACTCAGCTACAAAGAGTTCCTCCCACCAGGAAAGGAAGAGTAGGGTGAGCAAGCAGCTTTCCCACCCTTTTGGGGCACCACACAAAGGTCTCATTTCTGTTTCATCCCACCTAGTCTGGCAAAGATGAGATGTATAGAGACGGCCAGGAACAAGGAAGAACAAGGAAGGGGTTACCAGTATCAGCCACACAGTGAGGGTAACAAGGGTTCCCAGTGACCTGCTCTGCAGACAAACGCAGCAACTTTCTTTTTTTTTTATTGTGGTAACATTGGTTTGCAACATTATATAAATTCTAGGAGTAGATCATTATATTTCGATTTTTGTGCAGGTTACATCATGTTCACCACCCAAAGACTAATTACAATCCATTACCATACACATTGCCTAAGCACCCTTTTTGCTCTCCTCTCTCTCCCCTTCCTCTCTGGTAACCACCAATCGAATCCGTCTCTATGGGTTTATTTGTTGTGGTTTTTGTCTTCTATCTATGACTGAGATCAAACGGTATTTGACGTTCTCCCTCTGACTTATTTGGCTTAGCATAATGCCCTCAAGGTCCATTCATGTTGTCACAAAAGACAAGATTTCATCCTTTTTTATGGCTTAGTAATATTCCATTTTGAAAATATACCACATCTTCTTTATCCATTCGTCCCTTGATGGGCACTTATGTTACTTCCAAGTCTTTGCTATTGTGAAAAATGCTGCAATGAACATAGGGGTACATGTATCTTTACATGTTCGTGTTTTAATGTTTTTTGGATAAATACTCAGCAGTGGAATAGCTGGATCACATGGTAGTTCTATTCTTAATTTTTTGAGGAATCTCCATACTGTTTTCCATAGTGACTGCACCGGTTTGCACTCCCACCAACAGTGTATGAGAGTTGCCTTTTCTCCACATCCTCTCTAACACTTTTTTCTTGCCTTGTTAATTATAGCCCTTCTGAAAGGAGTGAGGTGATATCTCATTATAGTTTTGATTTGCGTTGCCCTGATAGTTAGTGATGTTGAACATCTTTCATATGCCTGTTGGCCATCTGTATATCTTTTGAAAAATGTCTGTTCAGATCTTTTGCCCATTTTGTAATTGGGTGGTTAGTTTTTTTGTTGAGATGTATGAGTTATCTATATTTTTTGGATATTAACCTCTTATCACACATATAGTTTGCAATTATTTTCTCTCAATTGTTAGGTTGTCTTTTCATTTTGTTGATGGTTTCCTTGCTGTGCAGAAGCTTTTTAGTTCGATGTAGTCCGATTTGTCTATTTTTTCTATTGTTTCCCTTGCCCAGTCAGACATGGTACTTGAAAATATGCTGATAAGACTGATATTGAAGAGCATACTGCTTATGTTTTCTTCTAGCTGTTTCATGGTTTCAGATCTTGCAGTCGTCTTTAATCCATTTTGAATTAGTTTTTGTGTATGGTCTAAGATAATGGTCTACTTTCATTCGTTTGCATATGGCTGTCCAGTTTTCCTAATGTGATTTATTGAAGAGAATTTCCTGTCTCCATTGTATATTCTTGCTCCCTTGTAGAAAATTAGCTGACCATAGATGTGTGTGCTTATTTCTGAGCTTTCAATTCTGTTCCATTGATCTGTGTGTCTGTTTTTGTACCAATGTCATGCTGTTTTTGTTACTATAGCTTTGTAGTATATTTTGAAATCAAGGAGTGTGATACCTCTAGCTTTGTTCTTTTTTCTCAGGATTCCTTTGGCTATTCTGGGTCTTTTGCTGTTCCATATAAATTGTAGGATTCTTTGTTCTATTTTTGTGAAAAACATTGTTAGAACTTTGATAGGAATTGCATTTAATCTGTAGATTGCTTTAGGAAGTATGGAAATTTTAACTATGTTAACTCATCCAATCCAAGAGCAGGGAATATCTTTCCATTTCTTTGTGTTTTCTTCAATTTCTTTCAATAATGTTTTATAGTTTTCAGAGTACAGATCTTTCTTCTCTGGTTAGGTTTATTCCTATGTATTTTATTCTTTTCTTTCAATTGTAAATGGGACTATTGTTAATTTCTCTTTCTGCTACTTTGTCGTTAATGTACAGAAATGCAACTGATTTTTGTATGTTGATTTTGTGTCCTGCAACTTTATCATATTCGTTTACTATCTTAGAAGTTCTTTGGTGCTTTCTTTAGGGTATTCTATATATAAATCATGTCATCTGCAAATAGTGACTGTTTCACTGCTTCCTTTCCAACTTGGATCCCTTTCCCTTTGATTTCTTTTTCTTGCCTGATTGCTCTGGCTAAGACTTCCAATCCTGTGTTAAATAAGAGTGGTAAAGTTGGGCCTCCTTGCCCGGTTCCTGTTGTCAGAGAGATAGCTATCAGTTTTTCTCCATTGAGATTGATACTAGCTGTGGGTTTGTTATAGATGGGCTTTCTTATGATGAAGTACTTTGCTTCTATACCTATTTTATTCAGTTTCTATAGAAAATGTATGCTGTACCATGTCAAATGTTTTCTCTGCATCTATTAAGATGATCATGTGATTTTTATTCTCCATATTGTTAATGTGGTGTATCATGTTGATTGATTTGCAGATGGTGAACCATCCCAGCATTCCTGGAATAAATCCCACTTCATCATGGTGTATGATCTCTTTAATATTGCTCATATTCAATTTCCTCGTACTTTGTTGAGGGTTTTTGCATGGATGTTCATCAGTGATATTGCCTGTAATTTTCCTTTTTTGTGTTGTCCTTGTCTGGTTTTGGTATTAGGGTAATGCTGACTTTGTAGGATGAGTTAAGAAGCTTCCCCTGCTCTTCAATTTTTTGGAAGAGTTTGAGATGGATAGATATTAAGTCTTCTTTGAATGTTTAGTAGAATTCAGTAGGGAAGCCATCCTGGACTTTTAATTGGGGGGAGGTTCTTGATTACTTTTTTGATCCTCTTATTCGTAATTGGCCTATTAAAATTCTCTATTTCTTCTTGATTCAGTTTTGCAAGGTTGCAAGATTCTAAGACTTTACTCATTTCTTCTAGATTATCCAATATTTTGGTATATAGTTTTTAGTAGTATTCTCTTATGATCTTTGTGTTTCTCAGGTGTCTGTTGTAATTCTCCTCTTTCATTCTGATTTTATTTATGTGAGCCTTGTCTCTTTTTTCTTGGTGATTCCAGCAAAAGGTTTGTCAATTATGCTTATCTTTTCAAAGAACCAACTCTTGGTTTCAATGATTCTTTTTCTATTGATTTTTACTCTCTATTTCATTTATTTCTGCTCTGATTTTTATTATTTCCTTGATTCTACTGATTTTGGGCTTTGTTCTTCTTTGTACAGTTCCTTTAGGTGTACTGTTAGGTTGTTTATTTGAGATGTTTGTTGTTTGTTGAGGTAGGCCTGTGTTGCCATAAACTTCTCTCTTAGACCCGCTTTTGCAGTATCCCATAGATTTTGGCATGTCGCATTTTCATTTTAATTTGTCTACAGGTATTTTTTTATTTCTCCTTCGATTTCTTCATGGACCCGATCATTGATCAGTAGAATTTTGTTTGATCTCCACATATTTGTGGCTTTTCTGATTTTCTTCTTGTAGTTGATTTCTAGTTTCATACCTTGATGGTCAGAAAAGATGCTTGGTATTATTTCAATCTTCTTAACTTTACTGAGACTTGTTTTGTGGCCTGATATGTGTTCAATCCTGGAGAATATTCCATGTGCATTTGAACAAAATGTGTATTCGGTGGTTTTTGGATGGAAAGCCACATTTTGGTACATCTGGTCTAAGATGTGATTTAAGGCCAATGTTTCCTTATTGATCTTTTGTTTGATGATCTATCCATTGGTGTAAGTGGAGTGATAAGTCCCCTACTATTATTGTGTTACTGTCTATTTCTGCTTTGATGTCTGTTAACAATTTCTTTATATATTTAGGTGCTCCTATCATGGGTGCATAGATATTACGTGCTATATCTTCTTGTTGGATTGTTCCCTTTATCCTTATGTAGTGCCCTTCTTTGTCTCTTGTTACAGTTTTTGTTTTAAAGTCTGTTTTATCTGAT